GGACGATTCTAAACAAAATTTGGTTTATCGATTGTTCGCTCATGAGATGATCACGCGATAAAGAATCTTTGTAAACGCGCTGTGCACTGAAAGCTTTTCAGTCTTCAGCTGCTGTGAGCTCATGAATTTTATTCACCTCTCTCTGAAGGACATTCGTAACATCGGTCAGATCTGGGAAGGTAGCTCGTAAGAACTGAATTAATTGCCTCTCATCCCATTCCATGGCATCACTTTCGAGACGAAGTGGGCGTTGAGGTGACTGAAAAATAAGACAGCAAATTCAAAATAGTTGAACACTCGTCGATAACTAACTTACTGCGTCATTATTTGACAGTCCATTGAAAGTGGTAGTCGGCATCTCATCCGAACTACTACACGCGTGCGCTTGCCTCGTCTCTTCGGTGTGACTTCTTCCATTTGGAATGAAGTCTGTTGTGTCAGCCGGTTGCAATCTGGGCATTTCATCTATGGATGATCTCGAAAAATCATGATCAGACGCCTATAAATGGGAGTTATAGGGGATAAAAATTCGAAATTTACAGGCATCATAAACTTGTGACAAGACAGCCTCCCATTTGGCACACAAAGCTGGCTACTATGGCCGACTTGAGACTAGGCGAATACAACACTGCTACCTGACCAACGTCGCAGCCGGGTGCAACTAATTAGGAGTGAGGTCGTAAAATATTAAAGCGTACGCACATTTGCTATTCGGCAAGTCTGCTGATCAGTTCCTTTCGAAGGAGACAAGGGTTGAGTCCGTCGACGTTTCGCTGTTCCAGTTTTTGCTGTGCGTCTTCTAAAGGTATATGCGATTTGGATTACGCATTTCTTTTTGTCAAAATAGAACTAGTAAATGAGTGGAAGCAGTTGAATGTTCATGATAAACAATGCAGCTCGTAACAATCTCAAGCCTCAAAACCAAGAACAAAAACGCACCTTCGCTTCTCGACGTTATTCAAATTACACCTTTGCGAACGAATTCCGCTCGCGATTCGGTCACCTGAAATAGGGATATGGATACAGAAGAAAAAATAACTCCGTCTGGAATTTGACGGGAAAAAGAAAATTATGCTAGTATTTGTAATACCCTTCGCCGCTCATCAAGTGATAGCTTCTTGCAATTGCACCTCTGCGTATTCTCAAACGATAACAAATTGGGGCAACAACCGAGGGAGCGTAGGAGAACCTAGAAAAAGCACAAAAATGGGCAAGACCATCAGAAAAAAAAACTGGAAGCTTATCGGAAAGATACAGAAACACCAGTTTTGCTTTACTCACCCTAAGCCATCCACATGCCTGCCGAGCAGTTTTGCAAACTTGGAACTCGCATAAGGACATGGTCAGGAGATGTTCGCCACTTGAACTTCACATGCAAAACTGCAACATCCTCATCGTCCGTGTTCAGCATAGACTGCATCTCCATACGATGTTCTATCGCAACACATTGATAGAGGTCCTAAACTTGACTAATTGTTAAATTTATGACAAGTGTAAGAGCTAAACCATAGGATACTGTAAAGAGCTTGTTGAGTTAGGAGAAATATGCACTAATGAGCAACGAGGCGGCAGTGATGAGTTGAGTGGCAAGTGGCACCTAGTGAGGATAGCTCAAACAAATCCCAGCTAGAATCCCGTTCAGGCAAATCAAGATTTCCACCCGTCTGGAATTGGGAAATTAATCGTTGACACATTGTACTGAAAAGGAAGCACTGACTCTGGAAGTCATCCTACATGCCACCTTGCTCAAAAAGGTCATTACGATTCTGAATAGGAAGTAGCATTTCCGAGGCTGTCCGCTTCCCCTTTTATCCTTTTGCTGATAAGCAAACGATTAGCGAACATCGGACGAAGAACGGATAGATTATTATTCTAGCCCATTTTTGTTTAAGACACGCTTCAATAAACAAAAAAGAATACTCTCATTCATTCATGAAGCCTAGCATCAAATCTGGTCAACTTTTAAAGTGCAACACACAGTTCGAATTGGTAGAATAACACCAAGACTGGAATATGACTCTTACCGCTATGAGCACTTTGAAGACATGCACCAACGGTCCAGCTTCGTAGTATCGAGCTAGTGCAGCCACTTGCGATCGGACAAACCAAGGACCTAATCGGCAAGAAGGGTGCACATAGATACGAGGCAGCCAAACATCATCTGAATAGGCGCGGATTACCGAGATGCAATACTCTCTTGGGGTTTGGTTCATATACCTTTCAACCAGTACTCGGGCACGAAAGTTTTATCAGTTACTTTCCTCTCCTGGAATATATTACACGGTTTGGAAGAATACTCGTTCTTGAGAATGTCGAAGCGCACACCTTAAAATGATACAATCAATAATGATGTAAAAGAATGCTGCATGATAACCTACCTTCGCTCTTCAAAGGAGGGAGTGACAAAAATGGTGCTTCTGCCACAAAAGGTATGTCATGCGCGGACGCGAAACCGCACGGAAAAATGCAGTCTGACCTGCAAAATGAAGAGACCCGTGATCCTCTGTATATTAACAGACAAGTTAAGAATAACAATAAATTTTGAAGGAGACAGAATTGACAAGACCATGAATGCTTTCTTATAAATATTTTTTGTACTCTTTTCTATCCTCACCTCGCCTTTTCTCAACGCATTCACAAACAGACCGGGCCAAACGAAAATGTTGCTCTCATTTTACTGACGGAAACGGCCATAATCACAATTTTGTGAATTCTTACGTAACGTACCCGATAGGAAACATTAACGGAGGATTCGGTGTGGTATCACAGCTCAACTCAATTAGAACAAGGTTGCGCACCGCACGATGAATGAGCGCAGCATACATCACTCCTTGGCGGTAACAAAAAACCTTAATGGAACCGGAATAAGAAACTGTTGCTCGAACAAACGAATAAATAAAAAACTAAATTATGCTTTAATGGGTTAGAACGAACCTCAACATGTCTCATAGGAGTGATCTTTGTATCTCTGCTGATCAATGGTTCGAAATTCACTTCACTCGTTGGTATCTAGGAATGCGAATAAAGATCATACACTTGATAGACTTTTAGTGCCAACAGTTACCCCAGGAATGCCCCAATGGGCCGCGTAGTTCTTCCAGCTCCATCCTGCATCTGGTGCTCTACCTTTCAACATAGCCGAACTGCGTGGAATAGAAAGCGGATAACCAATAGAGTTACAGAATCCTTGTGGAAAAACGCCAGGGGATCCTCGATAAGCAACAACCTAAACAAAGTTTATAAAAAAAAAAAACGATGCCTCTACTTGAGGTCGTTTATGACTGCTAGTTTTTTTATGCTACAGCAGTTTCGCTGTAGCAGAAGAACAAACTTGCAGTCTCAAACGACAAATGCTAGTAGCAACACAAATAGATGACTCGATAAACAAAGTTATTTACAAAACGCACGACACTTCTGTAAACCCATCAAAGTAAAACGACATCGGACAGTCAACAACAATGGGCAGAACAATACGAAAATAAGTCGCTTTCAGCCGTACCTCTCTAGTGTCCACTGAGCCCAACGAAGAAGAAACTATTCTGACAAAGCGGCTATTGATGATTTCAGTGACGTGGCCAGGATAAATAGCCGCCCTCTGTTCCGCATCCTGCACTTCTACAAGTGATCCAATCTGTAAGAGAACGAGAAATTGAGGTAGATGTAAGAGTCAGTGATTGATTTGCATGATGAAATGGTTACCTTGAAGAAGTGTTCTCTCAATTCTATTCTCTTGAAAACTATGTCAGGAACCGCGTTTTTGGAAAACATCTTCAGTGCCTCAGCGCTATATTTTCCTGGGCAGTACGCAACCTAAAGCGTAGAAACGAATAATGTACGAGTTCATTGACATCACAAATTTTGAGCGATAATATCGTATTGAAAGATAAAATTGGTGCCATACACTCAACGCTGAACTTCATTTAACACCAACCGAGTCGTCCTGATGTTGAGAAACCCAACCCATAGAATGACATCGAGGATCAGTTATGTTGATAGTCATGACCTTTAAAAAGGATCTGTTCCATTAGGTCATTTCAAAATGATATATTTCTTGCAATAATATAACAACAGTAATAAAAGGCAAAAGATGCGGTAATGCCCTACGTAATCAAGAGCTTCATAAACAACGATACCACCGTAGTTCGCCAACACTTTGCAGCAAAACACGCATCGAGGTTCCGCAGCATCTTGGATTTCGAAATACTGGCCCTCCTAAGCGATATAAATTCTCACACAATCTACTTACTACCGACTACTCGTGAAAACTGAAAAAGAAAAGAAAAAGAAAAAAGGGAGAGAAGAAAAAAGAAAACTACTTCAAAAAACGAACTCTTCTCTATGTAGTAAATAAACCAAACTTGTTCACTCAATCAAGGCAAAATGCAAAAACATAATGGGCAAAAAATGGCCAAATGCACACTTCTACAAGACCTGCACTGAGTTCCAAAGAATATCAAATCTCAGACAAATCAGTACCTTGATCAAGTCATTCAAGCGGCAGTCAAGAACGTCTCTATACTTAGAAATCTGCTCGACGTCGAGAAAATCCCACTTTCGTCGCTTGTCTTTCTCTTCAGCAAGAACTCTACAGAAAAAATATTCGCAAAGATGCAGTGATAGGCAAAGAGATCGAGTAACTCACCGTTTGATTGGAGCGTTCCACTTCCTTTGCATTGGCTACTACATCGTTAATCGCTATTTCACCATCGCAGTCTTCCCTTTTATCCCTTTCATCCGTAGTTAAATAGTTAATCATTAGTCTCCCCTTACTTACAACACAGCTGAAAAAACATCAGTTAAGAGGAACCAATATTTCAAAACAAATATTAATAAACCTCTATCCGGGCAACACGTTCATTATCATTCTCAGATTTCACGAAAATGTGCTTCCCATGCTCGAAGAGACGCTCTGCTACCGTTTGTTCTAGATAACGAACATGACCAAACAAAATTTCGTCCGTGCATGGATTTGTTCCTGTGGCCTGCAGTAAAATTACTGTTACATACAAGTACGATAAACTCCAAGTAAACAAAGCACTGTCTAACTATGATGCTCCTTGCGATCTACATGCGCAACTACAATGCGAAACATTGTTTGAGGTTCGCTAGGTTCGCCAGAAGGGCTCAAAAATCCAAGACTTTCACTTTTCGAATAAATTCCAAAGCCTCAAACTAGTTGTTTCACAGAAACTGTGACAAATTTCAAAAACAAATAGCGCTCACAATGAAATAGCTCTGCCAGTTGAATGATTCCGGCTTCGTGGGATTGAAGATTTTGTCATATTCGAGGCGAGGCTGCAAACACATACTA